AAAGAATTAAAAATTTAAAAAAAATGTAAAATGACCTATCGCAACGGTCAAAAAACGTTGTGAAAACCCTTTTGCAACGTTCGTGTGAGCGTTGCAATGTTCGATGTACCGTAGAGGCGTCAACTTTTTGCAACGTGCATTGCACGTTGCAAAAGAACGTTCGACGCACGTTGCGGAAAAAGATCTACGGCAACGTTCTAAGCACGTTGTCAAAAATGTCTACTGCAATGTTCCTCGCACGTTAAAATTATCTACGGCAACGTTCGAACAATCGTTGTAGAAAACAACGAACGTTGCTAAAAACCTTTAGACAACGTGCTTTGAACGTTTTCGTATATAATTTTCCGCAACGTGCAGAGAACGTTGCAAAATGGTTGGACTCTATGGCCATATCAAAGCCCTCAAGGTTCACCCGAACGCTGCAAAAAGCCTATGGCAAGGTTTTCGCGCGTTGCCAAAGGCAGTTTCTGGTGTAGTTTGGAAAAACTCATTGTCCTCATTGCTCTCCTTTTTGCCCACTTCCATTCCTATCAAGGAAACTCCAGTCTTCAGGTGTGAGCCATGCCTCAAGCTTTCTAAACAGGAAAAATCTGTTCTTGCCAAGAAATTCAATTACACCCTGGTTGGTAATTTCTAGCAGTGAAAGCCACTAATGATTGCTGTCAAGAAAAGTCTCCATGCTTTTGGACTCAATGGCGAATCCAGCGTAGGTTAAATTGATGCCAAACACATTATTATATATATGACTCAAGAAGAGGACTACTCTAGATTTTTTAATAAGCCGCAGCGGTATGGTGTTTGATGCCCTATGTGGATTATGAAATGGATGTACGTTTTTAAGCTTGGAGACACTTTAATTTAAACTTGGAGCCTCACTCATTAACAGTAGGAGGCTCTTTTAATTATGGATGAAGCATCTCCTGGGTGAATACTATCAGCTAAAACAGTAAAAAGTCAAGTATCTCCGTTGTAGATAACTACCAGATCCAAAAGGAAACACACAGACGAGGCTGAGTCAGCCGAGTTTTCGCATCAGGGGAAAACGAGATGCACAGAGGAAAAAGAGGGAAGGTCACGAATTCTTGAATCTCTTCGAGCTTCCTTAAACAAATTTCAGTTCACTTCTTCTTTGCCCAAAATCCAGGAATCGATCTTTACTTTTCTAATTAGAATTTCTTGCCTCTCGATTCCTCTCTAGAGATTGATATTTGACTCTTATTTGCAATAAACAATGTATTATTTATCACGAGAGCTCTCTTTAATTATTAAATGAAGGTATGTATTTATAGGGTCAAGAATTAGGTCAAAATCCGTGCACTAAGTGATTTCCAAAAACTGGTTGATTCAAAGAAGGAAACAAACTGATTTCTATACGTAGTGGGGACTCAGTTGCTGCAATATTCAGAGTGAAAATGATGGATTCATGGAGATTGCACCCGTTGAGAATCGGGCCAAATAATAAAGATAAAAAAATAAGAGCAATATAAAAAATAATGGATCGCACAAGAACACAAGATTTGCGTGGAAGAGTAGGAGAATTTCAATATGCTAAGAAAATAAAATTGTTTTACAACAATTGATACCCTTAATTTAAATCTTAACAATCCTCTCAAACTTCTAATGTATATAAGAATGATCATGTTGTTAGTTGAGCCTATGAAGAGCCTACACCATGTGGAATATATATATAAGCCCAATCTTAGAGTTATGGACGAAGTAGAACGCAAAAACGCGGCCAAAATCAACTAGGAAACAAATTCTTCCCGTTAGGTGGGGCCACAGTGCCACACACCCAGCGCCCAGGTGCCACCACAGGTGCCTCGGGGCAGGGTACCAGTGCGTTGTTGTCAAACTTCTTCTCGGGCGCCCACGGCCTCTCTTCTTTGGCTCCTTTCGACGCCTAGCCCATGCTTTCAAAACACTTCCCTATACATTTGAAAGTCATTTCTCCAATCATACTCCCAATCCATAATGAAATTTGATTTCTTATCTATCGGACTTCCAAACCAAAATTATCAAGACTTCCTCCATGAGACAAAACTTCAAAATCACATGAAATTTGAGTTACAACCTAACAAACTCTATATTAACACAAATTTCATAGCAATGAATTAAGTATTTACTCTTTTAAGTCATTCTTCATCTCTTCCACCATGCCCCTTTTGGGCACTCTTAGCAACTGACCAGCAGAATTATGTTGGGTCCCAAATCTGAAAGACTAAGAGCCGGTGGTGGCAAGGCAGTTATGCTGACGGAGAGTTATATGTCTCATAACCCCGTGGAAAGCCACCCTCTGCGGCCGCCTCAGGAGTGTCCACAGTGTGAGTGTGACTCAGCTAACACAATGTCTTGCTACTACAGCAACTAGAGTCCCGGTCAGCCTAAGAGCCACTCTGTCATAGCTTTTAGCACTTTAAAACCTTCATGGCTGTCAAAAGCTATTGTTAGCGTGCTTCTAAATAAAATATCACTTTTTTTTTTTAAGTGAAGCAACTTTACAAGGGAATAAATATTCTTAGATACACTCACAAACATAGAGACATATTTGTAACCTTACTAAGTTTGGAATAGAATTTATAATATCAACTCAACTATAAATGTCCTCAATGCAATGCAAATGCACAGTCAATGCATGTGCTAACCAGTACAATTTTCAAATATATCATTTTTTTCCCTCACCATTTCTTCTTCGATTTCTATTTTGAGTTTATTTATTAGTAAAAAATTGCTGAGATAATGTTAAAAAGATTTTTTTT